TAGTTGCCAATTCCATTCAAGAAGGAACCTCAATATCAGAAGACTTATTTTTTAAAATTTATTTCTTTCTAACTTTCTAAGGATTTTTACCAGGTTTCTGGAAACGGACAAGTACTCTTGGTATGGATTTGGAGCAATGCTAGGACTTGTTAAATGGAACGACATGGGAGCAGAGTGGAATGTTTCCTAGAGTATCGCTCTGCGATTTTGATGTGAGTCACTTCTCGCCGGCTTCATGACTTCATAGCCTGTGGAATGTTCACTGAACTGTTTATAGGTTCGTGTAATGGGAAACGTGCAAGAACACACTGTACAATGTGTCCTAATTATCAACATCTTCAATGAGAAGATATTCATTTTCTTGTGGTTCTGGTAAGTGGATTCCGCAGATTTGAAAGCTTCTTTGAATATCATGCAAGTTAGGGCCATTCTCAGAGCGCGACAGCTCAAGTCAAAGGTCGTCTGAAGAAAGCTTCATTCCTTCAATGAACCAATCATTAGCCCTCACGCCGTAAATTTTCTAGGTGTTGCTTCCACAGCTACAACGCCTGTATAGCTGTGGTTAGAGAACGTTGAAGGTCATTTCCTGAAATTCTCTTCAATCAGAGGTCTTCTCGCATTCGTCTTCCAACATCAGGGATCATACGGAGTCAATCCGTGGACTTGGGCCGATTTCAGATCGGATAAACCCTCCTCCCCCCCCCCCTCACCCCGCCTCTACCACCAGAGTCAACTGTGTCGTTCGAACAATTTCAAAATTTTTGCGACTCGACTCTTTCCAAAAGTTGGGAATTTAACATCTACCACTGCTTTATACTGTTCGAATGGACAATTGACCTTGCTTCATCGATCCCGGTTGGATGGTACTAGTAGCCTGGTCCTAAAGACTCAAAATCTTGAAAGCGCGTCCGTGGGGAGGACAACTGCCACAACGGCATGTTTTGCCAATAGTTTCAAGATTTCTCAGAGGTTTGGAAAAGGTTTTCTATTTCCTTTCATGTCATTCACACACTATGGTTGCGTACGGACAATTGCGACCCGTCCTCAAAATTGCAAAATACTACTCCTTTTTTACACTGCCGACAAAGCGTTGACTCCTTATGCGATGTAGATATCACGGTAGAGTGAAACCAACGTAAGTGAACTGAAGAAGCTTAAATCCGACTTTATTTGACATTGAAAAGGAAACGCGGTTCGTACGTATGCTGTAGCGTTAGATTTTGAATCGGGGGGGGCTTGCATTGAAAATAGGCATACCTAAAAACCGTCTGATGTTACGACACTAGGAATAAGACCCCAGAACGGGACGTGAGAACGTCAGAGTAGACGAGAAGGTTGCTATAATCCTTTTTCAGAATCCCCTCCTCTCTTTAAGGCCAAATGATGTATGTGGCTCACTCTTTAATGTTCCCCTTTAACATCGATTTACCATTCGTTTTTTTTCTGGCTTTTCTGGCTGTGAATTGCCACGGTCACTTTTGTATTTCTATCAGATTACTGTTGAACCTTCGACTTTTTTCTTCTTGACTACTCGTTGAGCTTCTATTTTAAGGTATTTGATGCTAGCTGTGTGTCACTTCGGGCTCATTCCTGTATTGGCTCTTTGTTGCTGTAATACCTTATCCAAATCGCCGATTCGTCAAACGGCATCTTGAAATCAGTGAAATGCCATTCGATCCAGTTGGTAAGTTCTTATAACATATGGTGGCCGTGCGTTTAGATAAACATGAGTGATTTCAGAAAGTGACCAAGACGTGAGACGGTTTATTGACAACTATCTGAAAGTGACGGTGTATTTGTACTGCGCATGCTCACACTCCAATCTGGGGTAGGTTTCATTTTTCCTTAATACTTGACTTTTTTTGTGCTCATTTTTCTTTTCGCCCTTGCCATTGCTGCTAGAATAGGCCTAGTAGGGTTAGTAGATTATTGCGAAGCCCTTCAACGTCATGAAATTGAACTTCTGAGTCACTTGCCAACTAGCGGTGCCACACTCGCTAGTTGGTTTTTCAAAGCTACTGTATGCATGGAAAAAACTCAGAACGTTCAGAGGAACTAATTTCATTGAATTGGCCTGTATTGAGCACTATGTATATAAAGAAAAACTCCAGCTATTGGAGATGCAACTTTTCAACATTCTGAGGATGAATGTCGTCTTCAAACGCTTTTCGCAATTACAAGAGCGATAGCTCTAAAATGTGTTTGATGAAAGAGTCCCACAGTTAGAGGGCAGAATTCCAGTCTCGAAGTACAAAATGGGAAATGATGGGCAGCATATTTCATTCAAGAGTTTCGGGGAAATCGGTTAGGAGGGCATTTGATTCTGCTAACACTTGGTGGACCTCGCATGTTTAACGTCTTGCGGCCGCGTGGGACTTCAGTGGAATTTTTAGCAATATTTCAAGCAAAAAAACCAACTGCATGATCAGGAAGAACACTGGTCGAATGAAATAGGAGGAAAAACAAATGGAAAACTTGATGTTTTCTTCCAAAATGGGCTGTAAGGCGCTACGCGGTAGAGGGATGCAGCCCACATATGGGCTGCAATGGTTTCAAGGTGTTCAAGGCACGTAAAGGCGGTAACCATTGAATGTCGTTTTGTCCAGAAATTAGGCAATTGCGAAAGGGGAACATTTTCGGGGAGAAAGTAAAAAAAAAACACATATGTAGAGTAAGGCGCATGACTTGCATACCGTAAGCGTGGAAATTCTTATAGCGTAGCGAAATAGTCTTGGTGGACGAAACTTCCCGTAGCACAGGCGGGGGGCTCAGATCCGCTATTATCAGTTTTTTATTTACTCTTTATTATTCTGTCAAGAGGGTAAAAATGAAGCTATTTATGGGTCAACAAATCTTAGAGTGGTCTGACCTATGAATTGATGCAACTTCTTTTGCTTTCCGTCTTTGCTGGGTTTGTTCACTTAATTTGATATAGGGAAACGCATCACCTTCTTCAAGCCACTGATCCGTTGTCAACTTGATTCGATTGTTCTAGGTAATATTCGGCACGGATCTCGTTTTGGCTCTATGGAAATCCTATTTCGGTATAGAGGAGAAATTGAAAAGAAGCAATTCGATGCCACATGTGGCTGGATGGAACTGAAGAGCCAGTCACACGATATTGGCCACCTCCTCCAGGTTTCTTATTTTGAGCCAAGTTTATACAAAACTTGTCTCGCATTCCTCACAAATTTAGCTCCTGACCTTGGACGGCAGCGAATGCGTAACGCACTTGGGCAGAATATTGATAACTCGCTGGTATCCCAGGATATACTGGAGAGGATCGTTCCACCATATCGCACATACTGGAGAGGATCGTTCCACCATATCGCACCAACCGGTAGGATACCTTTTTTATTTTGTAATAACTGATGTGCAGTCCAAGGATTATTTTTGAATCTAAAAATTTCATATAATTCAAAGATTACCGCAGGAATAATATGGAATTTAGCGCTCCTCGTTACGTGGCTACGGTAAACGTTCCTCTAGTGGACCATCAAGAAGACAACGAGGCAAATGAGGCGCTGATTAGAAATCTTGACAGCGTTTCGGTCGCAACTGCACCACCGATTCCACCGTCAACCCTCATTCAACGGTATGTGCGGTACATAATTATCGTAGTGGTTCACACTTTTTCTCAAGTATGTCTCTAGCCTACAGGCGCGTCAGATCTGCAGGGTAATTTACTGGGCGACTGTGTATGGGTTTTAGGGGAAGTGCGGTGTGGAGTGCGGCGGCGTGAGGATTCCTTACTTAGTTGACTCGGCCCTACTGTAACCCTTCCTCAAACTGTTCAGTTTTCCCGACCTGCCTGCGAAATCGTCCATTTCCAAATCGAAATCATCCGCGAAATTCAATGTAGTTTTTGCAGTTGGTTGAAATTTGCATTTTTTTTCAGAGAAGAAAAAGGAAGTGGGTTAGTGGATTCAAGGTACACCAAGGTTTGATTGGAATCCGTTTGACTGGAGTGTTTTGGAAGTTCTAGGTCCTAAGACTGCAAAAGTCGCTCGGGACCCGAAATCTATGGGTTAGACTAGTTGAAGGCACTGGCTGGTCGCCCCGACGCATAACTCCCCGAAGCGACTCAGTACCCTACATTGTGAAGAGGTGGAGGTAGATTCGAAGTAAATGGTGATTGTTCGGAAGCCGAATAGTAACTGTTGTGTAGTCAAGATTCAAACTGGTGACGTACCCGTCAGATACGAAATTTTCCTAAGTTTCAGTAAAATAACACAGTATCTTGTCATAGTACAATTTGTAGTTTTCACAATTCTACGCTTTCTACCCTACGTCCAAGATCAACAGGAAGTCAAGTATAAAGAGGTCAGCGTGGGCATTCATTTAGTGTGAACCGTTCATCCATTCGACTTTCTTTCAAAATCGCGCTGGAATTTCGTATCGCTTCGTAGAGGTGTGGTGATGATGTGCCTATCGTTGCTGCCATACTGGCAAACCTGGTGCCAGAAAGGTAATTCCCGAGATGCGACCAATGAGATGTTGAAGGCTTGGTGCCCTCCCCTTCAATTAACCCATTCGTGACAATGTCAGCCACCGGTGGCTGACAAAGCTCTCACTCGGGACAATGGCATTACTGTGGCTGCAGGGCTTTTTCTTCCATGAAAAGAAATCTTCATACCCTCGCTCATCTACGCCAGCCCTGGGCAGAGGAAATCTCCCTCCACTCGAATTTTATTGAAGAAAAATCTCCTGACGCTGCTGCTATTGCGCAATCCTGCGCGGTCGCGAATGGGTTAAAAGACGTCAGTGCGACCATACACTACAATTGAAGACGGCCGCCAGAAGGTGCTAGACCAAAACGTTGTGAAACATGTTCTATTGCGGTAGCGAAGAGTATCCTTGACAGTAATAAGGGTCTATCAACGATACTGCTGGTGATAAGGTCACATAAAGTAGCCAGAAGTGGAGGGAAACGTGTTGTAATACTTCAAATTTGCGAAACTGACGACGACAGCATTCCATGGTAGCGCTGGATCATGATACGCTTGAAAGTAGGTTTAGTGTTGTTCATTAAATGAACTCACCTGTTAAATATGAAGGAGCGGGTGCAGGCGTAGGTTGAGGGGGGCTCACGCGGCGGCCAGGGTCGTTGTCTGTGCTCTCCAAGGCTTAGTCCTGAAGGCTTTATTGGAAACTGCCGCGGCGGCATAGACACGGCCCTTCTAGGACTAAGCTCGGAGAGTGCAGAGCAGAAGACGCCACGCCGCGCGTTAGCACCCCGCTCACTATGCTAGCAACGAAGAGCGAAGTAGGATGAGACGGACAACGAGTAGGACTACCACTGCATCAATTAATTTCCCAGTCTGTTGTCAACTTGCCACTATTTTCTCACGGCCGTCGTCAATTGTGGTGTATGGTCTGCACAGACGTCTTTCTTTTTTATCAAAGAGGAGTATGCTAGAAAGGTTAATGTTCCAATAGATGGATATTGCAAGCCTTTGCGCTATTTTCCTGGACGTGTATATACCCAACTGAAGCTCATTCTGATCAGATGGGTCCTTTCATTTGTACACCTTGAATGTGAGAACTGTGGATTAAGAGGAAACGTAGAAACGTAAACACGGAAATAAAGATAGATATAATTATTCAGACAAAGTATTAGGATAAAAACATGAGAGTAAAAAACAAAAAAAAAAAAAAAAAAACAAAAATCACAAAAATGCAAGATCACATCAACGAAAGAGTCAACGAACAGATTTCCACTTCGCACCTATGCACAATGAGTCGCTAGAAATCACGAAATAAGAAAAACAAAAGTAGATGCGGAGGTAGAGACGAAGTGAATACGAAGCGATGCAGTTCTGACAGATTATCCAAATATAAGCTCGATGATATAGGAGTCCTGGTATTAAAAAAGAAGTGAAGATAAAAAGGAGAAAGTAATAAGATAAACAGTAAGATTGTTGTGGACGTGGCGCTGCGCTACAAGTTGTGGGATATTGGTAGTTCTGCATTTATTCCTGGGAAGTAATTGTCTGTCTATTTCAGGAAAGCCAGCTAAAAATGTTCTAAGAAGTCATCGCTGTGTACTCTGATTCACTAGATTCGGTTGCCTTCAACAAAGTGCTTTAACCTTTTCAACAGACCTTACCCTCTTCAGGGAGTTTTGTTGTCAGATTAGTATTTTGTACAATACATGTACTACTGAATACGTGTGTGATCTCTATGCATAAGAAGTTGTGTTCTATGATAATCATATTCAGCATTATACAATTATGTTATGCTTTAATTGTTGACGGAAATTGTGAAGATAATTGTGGTTCAAATTAATTGTTTATAAATTTTTGAATAAAAAGATCTTGATAATGAATTTAGCTTACACGTAGCTAGACAAGCACAAGGCAAGCCAGCAGTAGTTAAAGGCAAACCCCGGGATTAGCCCGACTTGTGGGAAGGATACCGCGAGGGAAATTGTAAGGTCCCTACCTACCTAGATCACTCCAGCTTCGCCGCAAAAATTGCGCGGTTAGGGCGCTAATCCTTACGGGCCTGCAACCATCGACCCCCGTTGCAACGCTTCCCACCCACCTCGATATCGGCGTGCTCTCTCGAACGGCGTGATCTCTCGCGTGTTTTGTCTTCTTTGACCGCCCTGCCTCGCCATCGTTCCACATCCGACCTTTTTGAAGGTTAAGGCCTTAATTTCAGCGATCCCAAAGATTTCTCTAGCTTTCCTTTCCTTTCAGGCCGTCCCGCAGCTCAGTCATCATTACGAAGCGCTCTTATCACCGGTTTATCCTGGGGCTTGCCTTCAAAGGAATCTTTGTGGGGAAATCGTGATTCTCTCTCACCCATAATTCACTGGACCCATCGTTCACGATAAGAACGAAAAGAACAAAAAAATTGCATTTGTTTTGGTAAAAAAAAAAAGAAAGGGCTGCTACGCGTTCAAAGTACCGCCGGACATCTGTCACAAATGCTGGCGACGGGAATGCTTCCACTGGTTCTTTAGTGCATTCACATCTCACACTTCTACTGCATCCTATTCTATCGATCGATTTGTCTCTACTCTCCAAAATCGCGCGCTTTAACCCGATTCTTTCATTGCGTCGCCTGATACGTAGCCGCCCCAACTTCTTTCCATGCCCCGCCTTTGGCTCCGCGCCACTTACCTTCGATTGTCCATAGAGTGTAGTTTTTGTAAGTTTGTTTCTCTTCGGAAACCGAATCTTCATGCGTGAAACTTTGTGTGCTGTTTCCAGTGATCACAACTGACATATGCATGTTGGGAAAGAATGCAAGATTTTTCCGAGAAGGATTCCTTTAAGGTCCAGAAGATCTGCGAACGCAGGTGGCGCAGTAAATAAAGGAGTCAAAACGTTCTGAGCGAGATTCTTTCCGCTGGAAAAAGACTCGCTCCGAACGTCTAACCCTTCTTGTCCTATTTCTGCCAAACTTATTAGCTTCGCATTGCCTGGAGGGATATAAACATTGATTTCGCTATCGAATAGTCATGAAACAAAAGGTACTGAGTGGATTTAGCGAGGCTAACTATAATACTATGTGCATACGATCCTTTCCGATAGGCAGGTGCATGGTCTATGCCGTGGAGACAAGCGAATAAATAAATGTAAATACAGGGTCTTCAATGATATCCAAAGTATCATATCGGAAGTTCATCGGCGATGCAATTAACTGCGCCTTAAGTTCCGTAGAGAGGGGAGAATTATTGACGACGCCAGCCGACTCTTAGATCAACATTATCGGCAGTAATTTTCAACTGAGCGGGCTATGGGCTCAGCAAGGTGGCAGTTCATCTAAAGTATTCCAGTATTCCACTATGGTCACGAAAGCAGGACTTCAACCAAAGCAGAGCATTGAGGTTTATCTACGGCAGAAACTTTCTTTGGCAAGGCCAAAAGCAGGTTTTTTATCAGACTGAACGAAGACCCCTTGTCTGCCCCGTTAAAATAAATAAACGTGGATCAAATATTATATAAACTAGACAAAATCGGTGATTTCAGAACATTTCGCTGGTCTTGCTCGGCCATTTCAACATGTCATAGAAAAAGGAGAATCAGAACGCCATTCAAGGGAATTGCTGTGCGTCTTGGCTCAGAGTGCGCAGCATGTCCGACTGAATGCTAAAAATTCGCACAAGCGCTCTCTCACCCTGCAAACGCATCGCGTCATTCAGCGCTCGCAAAGGCGCGCTCAATTCTTCAGATCAGATTAGGGGTTGGGATCCATAACGGTCAATTACAATAATTGACCCAGAATGTGTCTGTGTGAAGAGTAACCATCACCCGATATCACCGAACGATATAAATGGCCGCGTTGACGCGGGCACCGTAGGGGGCAACTGTCTCTCTCCGCCGTCTGCAAAGGTCCACGAGGCAGACCCCGATGATTTGTGGTCGGACGGGTGAGGGTGACTAGTGAACAGAGGGCCGAATCACAACGATCCGGCAACGCGAATCGCTCCGATATTGCGGACGGGCGGCATTGTGCGCTAGTGGCCTGGTCCGCATCGTAATTTGGCAAACATTGGCTCCGTACTTTAATGCTGCTTCTCGTAGGCTAGTCAGGCAGTAGTAGCTCAAAAGCAAGAAAAATCAGAAGAGAAAAAAGCTTCCAGAAGAGGGGGTTGGTTAGAGATTATAGGGTAGTAAGAGATTTTAAGAAGGTTCGTGCATCCGCTTGAAGTTGAAAGAAACTGCGGACAAGGAAACGATGATCAGCCGTTGATGGCTGACAATAAACAGAATAAACAACGCTCCAGAGTAGCAGCCGGTCCGAAACGGCCAACCATACAGCAAGGCAAAAGACGTGGCAACTCACGATCGAGACCAAAAAGTCGTCACAGAAGACCTTGACCGCGAACCGATTTGCATTATTTGTACTTGACGTCCATCGTAGGACGGAGAAATGATGGTAACGGCCGAATCTGCAACAAAGACGAGGCGAATTGACGGAGGCCAAATGTTAGGAATTACGACGAAAGCATAGAGAGATGCATTTAAACAACGTCCATGGTAACGGCGAAGGAGCGCTCTCCCATCACTGAGATGACAATTCGCTCTCTCTCTCGCAGAGCACGCAGCTAACAGCACTAATTACAGCTTCATTACGATCGAGACTTCGAGAGGGCGTCGATCGCAAGCAGCTAGAGAGTTCAATCGCGCACACAACACTAAGATGATGATCGTTGATCAGCCGTCAGAGCTGATCCCGCCACTGAAAGTGCGGTTCAGAAGGAATGCGCACAGAATGAAGAGGTGTGAACGTGTGGAAGTCGGAAAGTGAAACGCAGACGAAGTGAGAGCGGAAATGAGCGAATCGTACCATAAAGGTCACAAAACCGAGCACAACAACATAAACAATAAACAAATAGAGTAGTGCGAGAGCCGGTGCAATAGATCGATGAATCTAGTGTGTTTTGC